AAACACGATGATCTACTCGAGGAAAATTGGGCAAAGGGGCGATCTTTGCAGAGAAACTTGACCGTTTGGTGAAATTGGTAGTTCAGAGACCCTATTTTCATTGTAGTATTTCGTGGCAATTTGTTGGCCGATGTCTAGTTTATATTGTAGAACGGGTTCCTAGTGAGTTAAATTAATTGTCTATCCTCTACAGAGTAGTAATAAGCGCGACTCCTTTTTGTTGACGGATGTTGAATTCATTTTAGACTTTTGTTCATAAACAACAACTACACTACCGAGTACTAAATCACTGTTTGCAAAGAACTGAGCCTATATCACCACAAAAATTCAGCTTATTTTTAGAGTCAAATAGTTTCTCCATCGATAAAAGTAGTTTTTATGGAGTGAAAAATAGGGCAAGTACGAATTTAAAGAAGGTCAATTTGCACTTGTATATCTCACTTCGAAAAGGATATACATATTAAAAACAGGTATATTTGCACTGCGAAATTAAACTGCTGCAACAAAGTTTTTATTTCTACTTTCACGTTCTTATTCCAAAGCAAACACTTTTAAGTTGGAAATGCCTAAAATTGTGAGCGTAGAAACACTAAAGAAACAAGAAAACGACTTCATAACACGAGTAGTTTTTGCAAATTTGATGTTTGTTTTTATAATTCAGTCACGCGATTAACCCGCGCTCACGTGCACTCCACGCTTACGTTTCTCGCGCATGCGTAGACGAAAGTCCACCCTGTTTGTAGGTATAAAATTTTGGGACGTTGAAATAAATAATGATTTTAAAGACATAACAAGTCACAAAATTGTTGTAACTTGATAAAATAACAGCGTTGTTACAACTTGTTGGCAAGCTTTCTACAAGCCTGTTGCAAACACATCTGGTTGACATTGACAGTGCGAAACCATCCTGATGGCGAGTTGTTGGAACAGCATTGCTACAAGTCTGCTGCCTAGTTTATTACAACCTGTTTGTTTTTACGTGTGTACACGTGTAAAAATCGCACACCTTGTAACAAGTCTGGCAACAAGCCGTCAACAAGTTGTGCTCGCACTGCTTGTCGCAAGGTGTCAACAAGTTTGGAATAAGCTGTTAACAACTTTATTTTATCAGACTTGCTGCAAGTTTGTTCCAACAGGTCCAATACAGTCATTATATAAAAATATTGTTACAACCTTCTGTCGTCAACCTTGCAACGTTAACATTCTTGCTATATCACGACTGTATCAGACTAGTTGTTAGAACAACCTTGAAGCAAGTCTGGTAATGCCATCAAGCTTGTTACAAGTTGCATGTAAACAGGTCTTCCAAATTTGTTACAACAACTGGGAACAATTGAAGCAGTGCGAATACAGCTTGTTGACAACTTTTGAACAGATTTGTAATAATATGTTGGCAGACCTGTAACGACTTGTGCGTTTTTACTTGTGTACACTTGTAAAAGTCTCACAGCTTGACAACAGCATTTGTTGACAAGTCGTGGGCAAATTGTTATCATCTTGTAACAAGGTTGATGAGGCCAACAAACTCCAACAAGTCTGATATCGTCTTCACGTACGTAAGTAGTTTTAACAAGTTGATGACAACAAGCTCGTAGCAACTTGTTAGGAACAGCCTGTATTAATCTTGTTAGAACAACTTGGAGCAAATCTGCTACCGTCATCACCGTCACCTTGTAGCAGGATGATAACAACTTGTTTCAGAATTGTCACAACTGGGAACAAGAATTAGTGCGAACACAACCTGATATCGGCTTGATGACAACCAGTCCTTATTACAACTTATTTGCAGACCTGTAACAACTGCGCGTTTTTACACGTAAAAATCTGACATTTTGTAACTAGTCTGCCAACAAGCCGCACGCAACTAGTTGTGTTCGCACTGCTTGTCCCAAGTTGTCAACAAGTTTGGAACAAGCTGTTAACAATTGTAACAACCTTTTTGATATGATAGTACTTGTTGAAAGGTTGTTCCAACAAGTCCAATACAGTCACGATATAACAATACTGTTACAACCTTGTGTCATCAACCTTGTAACAGTCTTGTTATACCATGACTGTATCAGACTTGTTAGAACAACAACTTTGCTACTGGTCTGATAATGCCGTCAAGCTTGTTACAAGTTTTCAACAGCTTGTTCCAAAATTATTACAGCAACTAGGAACAAGTTGTGCGAAAACAACTTGTTGACAGCTTGTGAAAAGATTTTTGGCAACTTGTTTGTTTGGAGACCTGTATCAACTTGTACGTTTTTACGTTTTTACTGTAAAATCGCGCAGGTTCTTACAGATCTTCAAACAAGTTGTAACAAGGTTGTTGTCAAGCCGATATCAGGATGTGTTCGCACTACTTTTTCCATATTGCTGTGACAAGTCTGGAGCACCATAGACGGATTTTCATATTTTTTTTACTGGGGTGGTGCCAGAAATTTTAGGGGGGTGAGCCGTGAGCAGGTGACTGAAGCAACACAGTAAGGTCTATATTCTAGGGGTGGAGCACTAGAGCAGCGTGGAGGAGTCTAGAAAGCAGAAAACAAAGCTTCCCTGGAAAAATTTGAAAACATCATGATTTCTAGCTTCGAAAAAAGGTTTTTTGAAGTTGTCATATCAATGGATTTGGCATGTCCGATTGTCTGTTGAGACTTGAGGGAGTTAAAGTTAAATGAACCTGTAAAAGTGTAAATCCAATAGGCCAATACACAATATGCTTTTACTTTTATAAAGTCATTGACATTGTATCGTTTGAATCCGAGTACAATTTATGATGCAACTCCAATGTAAATAATATTTGGGGTGTAAAGATTAAATCTAGGCAAGTCTATTTCCTAAAAGAATTAAGAACTAAAAATAATGTTCGTAAAAATTCCAAACGTTCCTTGCAAGCAAGCTATTTGCATGACAAGGCACTGAAAACTCTATTCAGGGGAGATAATAGAGTTTCAAAACTTTACAATTGCTCCAATAAATCAGTGAATGCAAGCGAGGGGCGATTAGTTTCAGAGTATTGCACTGTCTTTTTCTTTTTGAGTGTACTCCTACGTTTATTTTGTATCATCAACACTCTGCACATTGGATTGGACTATTTAATTATTTTTTATTATGCCGAATATTGAGGGGGTTGAAAATTTTTTTGGAGGGGTGGACATTTTGTTTGGGGGGTTATAGCTAATATTGGGGGTAGCATCCCCCCCCTCCCACCCCCGCACACACAAACACACAAAATCCGCCTATGTGGAGCACTCTGTTATCATCTTGTTATAAAGTTGATGACAGTAACATACTTTCTACAAGTTGTTCCGAACAAGACTGATAGAGGCTATTCCTACTGCGGATTCAGGTAGACCGTGAAATGCGAATAGTTGTCGCGTTAGTTTTAACAGTTGTACGATGACGTTTCTAGGCAGATTTTCGACTTTTCTAAGGCGTGGCTTCAACGTTTATTTTTAAAATTTGAACGTTGTAATTACAAGGTAATTGCTAAATAGTATACTTCAAAATAAGGTTTACGTTTTTATAACGTAGAAAAAATATCCTAACGCAAAACTAAACCCTAACCTAACCCTAACTTATTTAAAAAATTGATATAAAAACGGAAACCTTATTTTGAAGTATACTATCTGGCAATTACCTTGTAATTACAACGTTCAATTTTTAAAAATAAACGTTGAAGCCACGCCTTACAAACGTAGAAAATCTGCCTAGAAACGTCATCGTACAACTGTTAAAACTAACGCGACAACTATTCGCAGTAACAAGTGCCGCAGTAACAAATTCTACCTGAATCCGCAGTAACAAGTTACTACGAGCTTGTTGTCATCAACTTGTAAACAACTTCTTACGTGCAGACGATATCAAACTTGTTGGAACAACTTATTGCGAGTCTGATGGCTTCATCAACCCTGTTACAAAATAACAACTTGGTCCAGACCTGTCACACATCTTGTTGACAATCTACGAGATTTTTGCGCGCGTACACATGTAAAAATCTCACATCTTGTTGACAAGTTGTCGACGGAACAACCTTGTAACTTGTTATTATTTTATTAACTTGTAGCACGCTTGTTGTCAACAGGTTGTTACAACTTGTTGGTATGTAGACCATGTAGAAAGTTGTTGGAACAACTTGTACCAAGCTTGTCGACCTCAATTAGCCATATCATGCTTGTTGAAACAACTTGTGGACAAGTTTTTGTGGTCGTGAACTTGTAACAAATCTGTTCCAGCAGCTTGTAGCGATGCTGTATTTACAAGCCTGTACAAAATCTGGCAACAAGTTGCAACGGCATTGTTGATATCAATGAAATGAAATACGAAATTGATTGCATCTCAGATTGGATTAACAGGCAAAGACGCTTTTTGCTAAACTTTAGAGAATAAGAGAATAAGTAGCAAAAACGTGGGAGGGAGCGAAGACCCTTCGTCGGCAGTTAGCAGAATTAAAAGTATTGTCAATGAAGACTTGAAACTATTGTCAGTGTCTGTTTTTGACAGGCAAAGACAGATAGAGTTAAACATAGGAAAAATGTAAAAAATGTAATTTTCCCAACCGCCGATACTAACTCCCGACGAAGGTTCTTCGGGGGAAATTACATGAGCTTTTATACTAATCACTGACGAAAAATAAACTTTGTAATAAGTTTTGAAATCGCAACAAAATGTTTGCGAATAGAAACGTATCCGGACACGCGTGGCTGGGTAGACTAATTTATGTAGTTTATGCCTGTCTGTATACAATCAGATACGTTTAATCTACCCGATTAACGAATCAGATGTTACCAAGCCAGTGAGCGGTAGTGGCGTTAGAGTAAAAATCTGAACCTCTCTGATGTCGATGTCACGACATTCGAAATGTGGTCGCTGTTTTGACGCGATTTTAGTAGTGGAATGTTTGGGAATACTGAGGAATTTCAGAGCTCGCTGTCCATATGTTGACAGTCACAGTGATGGGAAGATCAGTAAACTAAGCAACTTTGATATTAATTATTATTTATTAATATATTGTATGTGTGATTTTCAAGCACTTTTCAAAGTTTCACTTTTAACAGATTTTGTATAATTTTCAAGGGCGCCTTTTCAATTAAGCCCTGGTCAAACAATAATGAAAGTTGATGAGAGTTGGCACTTGCATGGTATAGTCACAAATAGTCACATCATGGGACATTTCAAGTAGCTACGTTAACAAAGGGGTTTGATGAGTGTTCCAAAGCATTAGAATAGCAAACCAAGATCGCCTACTGCCGAAACTCGTGCCCTTTCATTCGGGCTTTAGATGTAGAAAAACAGTCAGGGACTTCTTAACAAATGTCGAGAAATGGAATGGTATTATATAAGTTAAGAATGTTACTACTCTTCTTGATAGCTAATTTTATCTTCGTGATGAAGGACATTCCAGTCTTCCTGAGAAATGCCGTTTGGCCATTTATTTGTCTTCCACGAGTAAAATGAACTCCAGAAGCCCTTAAGCTTTCGGGCTCTCTCCACTGTAATTTCTCTGATATATTTTCGCTGTAGAAAACAAAATCTTGAGTTAATAGTAAGCACCCTATTCTGAACAATCAGATACCATTGAATGTATAGGGACCTAGAGGTTGCATTATGTTCTTCCATCATTCCTTATTGCAGAATGATGCTATTATTCCCAGAGATAAAATCACATCATTATACTTATAAGCCTCCTAGAGTGCCGTCCTGAAGTATTATAACACTCTTGGTGGACTAAATTGCGTGTAGTCTTCGTGTACACGCAACGTAGATTACATGCAAACTCCATGCACTACACTCAAAGTGCTATAGACGCTTTCTGTAGTCAAACTACACGAAGTTTGCGTGCAGTCAACTTGCCGACTTTTGCGTGTAGTCAAACTACACGAAGCTTTGTGTACAGTAGACGTAGTTATGAAATTTACTGCACAAAGATACGCAAATTTTGCGTGCACATATGAAGACGACACATGCACGTAAAAACGCACAAGTTGTAACAAACTTGCAGCAGACTAATTGTAGGAATTAATGCTGTTCCATCAACAGATGTGTTCGCACTGCTTGTTCCCAGCTTGTTGACAAGTTGTCAATGGCTTGTTGACAACTTGCTACAAGGTTGTTGAACTCAACAGACTTGTTACAAGTTGTTCTAAAAACTGGAATCTTCCTGCAATTCAACAATTTGTCAACAAATTGTGAGTCAACAAATTGTGAGTGACAAGCAACTTGATAAAATAACAGCATTGTTACAACTTGTTAATTGACAAGCTTGCTATATACAAGCCTGTTGTGAACACATCTTGTTGACAAGTTGTCAGGTTTTTAAGTGTATACTGTCACGCTTTTGTGTGTACATGAAGACTACATGCAACTTAGTCCACAAAGGGTGCTACAATACTGATCAGGACGGCATGCACTGTATCTACACATTAATGGCCAGGGTAATTAAAGATAGCGTTGGGCTGTGATGGCCTTAAATCTACTCCATGCACACCAAAAGCTACATTTGGGTATTACTTACTGCAACAATAATCTCCTTAAGTAACTGTGGTTTGTTGCACCCAGTGTGCTTGTGCCCAATGAGATGAATAATCTTATCTGTGAGAGTATCTGTGGGTGCACCCAAAAGCCAATCATTCCCAGCAATACCAAGAAGCTACATGAGGAAATCAAACAATACAGTACTAGGCAATGAATGACAGCTTACAAATTATTATAATTAGTGTAAAATTTGTTCCAAAGGAAGTCAATGTTCAATTATAACTACCCGTCGCCTTTCCTCACTTCTCCAGTATGAAAATTTGGCATTTTCATACTTTCTGAACCTGATCATCAGTTCTTGGCAGGTCATGCCAGTCGGGGAATTTGAAAATTCCAGCTTCAAAGCTCTCTATAATGAATTAACACCAGAATTTAAACAAAGTGTCAAAGATGTAATTACCATTCTAAACTCACTAACCTAAATTATTATACTATACATTATTCAGCTCACTCCCCATCGGGGCTTTTCAGAAACCAATTACATCAAGTGTTATCATGATTACTTATACAGTCTACCTACATTGCCTAGACTATTTATCTTTACAACAACTGAGATATTACTTTCCTAACTATGTTCTTCCTAATTAACCCACCCTGTCAACTTTCCCTGTGGGAGGAAAGCAGAGTGACCAGACTGAAAACCCATAACTTTCAGCAGAGCATTGACTCTTTTCACATAAGTCCACACATTAGTCCGTAGCGAGAATTGAACCCAAGTTTTTAGAATTTAGATGTGACAGGCGCTTGCTCTGACGACTGCGCCACCAAAGAATACAAAAGAAATCAACTTTGGAGACCTTGTTTAGAGCTAATAAGTAACCATAAACAAACCTGAGAAATGCATTTTGGAATCAAATACTAAACAGCCTCTTGTGTATGATAAATATTACATGCAATGCTAATAGAGAAAAACCTGTAGTTTTTCAGGATTTACACAACAAGGGATGGTGGCAGCTTTCAGGACCAACCTCTTTATCTGGACATTCAACCCCATATCGACCCTTTGTGGCATAGAATTTTCCAAGAAGTTGGTTGATGTTTTCCTATGTAAGATATTTAAAAATGTTCAACTTCAAGGGTGAACAACAATTTCTTCAGAGAGTGAGGACTCTTTTGTAATCACTCCAAATCAACTTGCAAAAACGTTGCGGCTGTTTACATCATATTTATAAAATATAAAATGGTTGAGAGTATTTATGATGTGCAGCCAGCATGCAAGTTGATTTCATTGAACAGCGTAATGAATGGAAAAAAGGCTAATGCTATTAACAGGAATTCTTCGGGGTATCTCTTGCACAACAAAATTCTTCAGCAGTAAAGTGGCAATTATTGTCCTTAACCCATTGAGTGGCGATGCACCCCGATGCAGCCTACTTTAGTATTTTACTCTGTCCAACGCCAGACGATGTTACTCGTCAAGGGAAGAGTGCCAGATGGCACTTAATGGGTTAACTGGCCTATCTGCCCATGTGTCTAGTTAACCCATTGAGTGGCGATGTACCGCGATGCAGCCTACTGTAGTATTTTACCCTGTCCAACGCCAGACGATTTTACTTGTCAAGGGAAGAGCGCTGGCGCTTAATGGGTTAATAGGGTGGGGGGGGGTCTTTAAAATGAGTACGCTTTTGACAGATAGGATAGACACATCCTATCGTTTTGATAGAGTAGTGACCTGTGGTTAATATGTACAACATTAGCAATATTACTAATTGGCATATGCTACTTACAGTATGACAGCATTTTGCACAATCAAATTGCTGTGATTCTTGGCTATGCTTTAATTTCTTTACAATTCCCAAAATTTCTTCCTGTGCCTCAGTTATAACTTGCAGCGTTCGTTTGACGTCTTTAACATCGTTAGTTAACAACTTCAACTGCTCGGTTACTTCTATTAAAGGTGAAACGAAATGCAATGAATAAGGACTTAAAAATATCGTTCACAATCTTTAAAGATGATGTCCACTCCTGTGCGCATGCGCGAACTTTGTTTACGTTTGAACCAGTGAACTCTAATAATAACTGGAAGGCTAACTCCTATGATGAAAGTCTATGATTCGTTGAAGCCGGCGCGCGGGAAAATCAGCTTTCAAAAGGACTAAGGAGAGTTTCGAGGAGTGAAAAAAATTCTGTCAAAAGTTTGTTTTCGAGCAAAAATTTGCAAGAAAAACACTTTTCCCATGGGAATACAACAATGATTGAGATTTAAACCAAGCTTCCGATTAGTTCCGACTGTTTTACATCTCTCTGCAGCAAAAAGTAAGGAATTTTGCTTTTGTATTTTGAAAAAATGACGAAAGTTTGGACGTGCCGAAGGAAATCTCGCCGTTCAACTCAAAAATATATACTATAAAACATTTTGACAGTCCCAAAACTTATGTTGTACTAAACCCCAGGTATTGTTGTTGATCCTGAGCTTTTAGTCCTTGTTTTAGTCGCTCTTAAACATAAATAAATTGGCGTTTTTCAAGTGATGTTATTTTCGTCATCGGCATCTTGTTGGCCACTATGAGCACTTTGAATATGGCAATATTTTTGTCAATTTTCAAATGCTTTTTTTTCGACCTTAAAACGTTCAATCTTCTTGAAACTTCGCATACAGATGTATTTTGCATGGGTTTAAATAATTCCTGAGGTATGACGTCTTAGTTTTATCTTAAACTTCCAAAAACTCAGAAAAAGCAGCCTAAAACGCGCGGTTTTTCTAACCGTTCATGCTTATGGTCATGTTTTTTCGTATTTTTTTGCTAATACGTGATTTTTTTGCTTTGTGAATATTAAATTCATTTATAATACTACTGATATAAATTAAATTTGGTAGTATAACTAATATTTTGGGGCAAGATTTTTCTGATCGAAAAATGTGCATATTTTGAAAAAAAAATGTAAAAAGGACTGGGTGTACCCACAAAAAAAGCTTCAAGCACGGCTTCAACTTCCCCCCCTGACTCAGCCTTCCAGTTATTATTAGAGTTCACTGGTTTGAACTGCTTTATTTGTAAAATAATACTGACTGAATATATAACACTTTTCTGGTTCGCTATGCTTGTAAATGAATATAAACTCTACGTTTCAATTCAAAAAGGTTCGAAAGATGCAAAATTTGAGCAATGTTTATATCTGGGGGTCCCTTTGTTATGAGCTGAACGGAGTGGAAATCATCTTACCATATTGTCGATTTGTCGTGGCCTCAAAACATTTTTCCTTTTGAAAAGTATGCAGCTCGGCATCATAAAGAAGCCGGAAAGGTGGAAGCTGTTATTAAACTACCAATCAATAGCTATGCTCCACATATATCCCCGGAATACGACATTGAACGAATACGGCATTGAACGACAAGACAACTTTTCCTGTTTTCCATCCTGCCACCACGGCCATTAAGCGCCATTTTTATTTAATAATTTAATACAATTAATTTTAAACAGAAAAACTTGGCTGGGGTGGGCGGACGTTTTTTACACGGGAGCCGGTGACAAAAAGATATAATTAAATTTTAAATATTTAACTTCTGGGGACGGACCTAAAAAGTAGATATAAACTTTAAATTAAATTTTAATTGTTACGTTCAACTTTTAAAATAATAAATTCTAATTGCTAAACTTTGAAAATTACCTGCAGCGAAAGGCTGTCTGTTTATTTGGCCACGAAGGTTCGTATGTATGGTTGGCGAGCCCGGGGCCGATGTGAATGAACTAAAAAACATATAAGAAATCACTCCTGACTCCTCTGAGCGAAAAATACGCAAAGGAAAAGTAGGAAATATTAGGTTCAACTTACTCGTTATTTTCCTGCGTCTCGTTGTCAGAATATCTACGCGAAGGTCCTGCTGGACAAAACATTGCCGAAACTTGAGTTTTCCTTGTGCGAGGACAAAGTAGAGCTAAGACACAGAGTAGTTATGGCCATGAACCAAAGGTATATAAAAAAGGCGGGAAACTTTTTTTGCAAGAAAACAACGTACAATATAAAGGAACCAATCATAATGCAGTATTTTTAATTTGTTTACCAAATAAGGAAGTAAACGTGCAGAATTAAGCCAATCACCGTCAAGATAAAAAGTGCAACCGAAAATGGGTTGAAGACTTTTAAGGTGGCTCCCTACAGTTGTTTAAGCATGGGACTGGTCGAAATGACGAAATGACGTGATCTTAATTGTCGAGTCGAAATCATTTGACCGCGCAAGGCTTGTAATGCAATAACTCTTTATTCCTTCGGTCAATGTTTCTGAAATTTTGTATTTTGAAAGTACTAGTGATTTATTGCAATATACTTAGGTTTCAAAAGATTCTATGCAACAGTTTTTGTGGAACAAATTTCGTGTAATATTTCAAAAACTGAATTTATAACCGCCCCTAAATTTTGATATAATCTTTCACGAGATATTCCCTTTACACCTGCAAAGTTTCAGAAACTTTGACCGAAGGAAATTGTAACAAATTCATTTTTAGTCCAAAATTTGATCTTTGTCTGCTGTCGCTTAGGCCACATTAGACAGATTTAGATCGAGGACGCGGACGTCAAAGACGACGTAAAAATTGTGTCAAAATGACATGGCATATCCATACATGGGGGGTCTATTATAGGGGGTACGCATCTCCGAAAACCGAGCTGTTTTTCAAATTTTAACCGCAAACCGCGCACTCATTTCTCTTTTAAACGTAACCGCGTATAAACCGAGGCATATGTGGTAATATATTTCGAAACATACTCCGCAAATGTGAGGCAATAGACCAATAGTCAGTATGTATAGTCGCCATTTCTATTGGAGTATTGAAAAGGGAGTCGTTCACAAGTTTCACGCGAACTTGGTAGTATAAAATTTGGCAATTGGCAAAGCAAAGGAAGCCTTAGCAGTCTAAATAGCTATGAAAAAGGTTTTCCTTCCATCGCTGCTTACGTTTTGTGTGAGAAACAATCAAGTTGCTTTGATTTCATCTTTTCGGGCAAATATTTATTACTTTGAGACTGATTTCAGTTCGTAATTAGTAGCAATCGGCAAGTCAGAATATTAAAAAGCAGGTTTTACTTTTACAGAATAATTTTTCCTGCAATAATTTCACAACCTCCGGTAATTTTTCCCCTCGAATTTTTAACAATTAAGCGGAATTTTTGGTGGCCGGTGTTCCGTGTTCCGGTGTTCCTGATTTTACTAATAGCCCGGCCACTTTGCCTATTTGATATCGTCATTTTGAGACCCTGTAGAACAACACACAAGCGTGATCGGAAGATGAATGCCATGAACTGAATTATTGCCATGAGCTCGTAAAATATTTCTTAACCGCATGTTAAAAACTTTCCGAAAACCGCTATTTATTTCGGTCAATAACCGAATCCGGAGGGCTAATTTCGACATGTTCCGTCTCCGCACGATTTCCAGTTAACCGCAAACCGTACAAAACAACTGGATATAACCGAAATCCGACCTCAAAATATGGCTAAATCCGCATAACCGCGAAACTATAATAGACCCCCTACATGGGCACAACACGCCATTTTCACGTCGTCTTTGACGTCCGTGTACTCGATCTAAATCTGTCTATTGTTACCACAGGGCCTTTTTTAACATACAAGCTGGGGGGGCATTTGCCCCCCCCCAGTCCCCCCTTGTGCCCCCCCACGAAATCAAATTTTGCCCCCCCAGGAAAAGTCCCTTTTTCCTAAAATTATACAAACAATCCAGCGAAGATTAACAAATAGATAAACGGAAAGTAAGTTTTAGGCTTTATCCTTTGTTCTTGTTTAACAAAATCGATTTAAATTGTTACATTTTTACCACTAAGCCATGAAAATTATTGTTAATATTTTTTTTATTTTTTGGATGCTCAGAATGCAGGAAATAGAATTTCACGGTTTCAAATTTCAAAAATTTTCTTGGGATTATCCCTCTAATAAGTAATGATAAATTACAGTTAATATTCTTTTTTACTTTTTGTGCATTTTTCCATCTTTTATTTCAAATACAACTACAGTTGTATTTCAATTTTTCATTTTTTCATCTTTTATTTCAAATACAACTACAGCATAAATTTTAGAGCAAATTTGGATGCTCAGAATGCAGGAAATGGCATTTCCGTGGTTCAAATTTCATATATTTTCGGGGGGAGTACACCCCCACACACCTGACCATTGCTATCCTCCTCTAATAAGTAATGATAAATGATGGTTAATTTTTTTTAACTTTTTGTGCGTTTCTTCCTTTATTTATTTATTTCAAATACAAGTATAGTTAGGATAAGTTTTGGAGCAAATTTGGATGCTCAGAATGCATGAAATGACATTTCCGGGAGTCAAATTTCAAAAATTTTCTGGGGGAGTACACCCCCAGACCCCCCATTCATGCGTGGTATATTTTCCACACACGTGGCTTTCAGCCATTGCTATCCCCCTCTAATATATTATCTCACAGAAAGGTCCCTTTTCAAAAAATGCCCCCCCACGGGAAAATCCTTAAAAAAGGCCCTGTGTTACCATATCATAGCAACACACAATTTGCTTCTTTCGAACGATTATGCTTGAAGTATAAAGATTACATCAGTTACATCTAGTCATGTCAGTTACATCTAGTCATGTTGCTATGTTTGCTGATGATACAAAACTGTTCAAAAACATCAAGTCCGTCAAAGACAGCGAACAGCTTCAAAACGATCTCAAACATTTAGAAACGTGGTCTGAAGAGTCTGGTCTCAATTTTAACGAAACGAAATGCAAGACACAACGTATAACAAGAAAGATAACACCATTAACATTTAATTACAAACTTAACAACGGAAACTTAGTACAGACTGAATGCGAACGAGATCTCGGCGTTTTTGTGGATAAAAGCTTAACCTGGAATAGACAAGTGTACGAGCAGTCAGCAAAATCAAATAAACTATTGGGTTACATCAGGAGATCCACAATCTATATCCACAACCAGGAAGTGAGACGCACATTATACCTTGCACTAGTTCGGCCACACCTGGGGTACGCTACCCAAATATGGGCACCACAATCCACCGAACTAATACGGCACCTTGAACGAACTCAAAGAAGAGCAACCAAATACATCCTTAGTCTTCCATTCTCCTCCTCTACTGACTACACCACCAGACTTCAAACTTTAGGACTCTTACCGATCTGCTATTGGCATGAATATCTAGACATGGTACTCTTTTATAAAATAACTCACAAACTAGTAATCATCGAAGCATCACTACATCCAACTATCCGCACTTCCAGATCGACTAGATCCTCCTCCAATAACAGTCCTAAGTTCGTCGTGCCAAAATGCAAAACGGTAACATACCAAAGATTTTTCATGATTCGGGCAACTCGATTATGGAACCATCTCGTTGATGAACTTAATTTGAATACGGATAGTCTTTCGTCATTTAAGTCGGCAATGTTTAAGTACTATATTTCCTCTTTGTACTCGTGTTACGATGTTGAGGATCCTCGTAGTTATAAAACTATATGTCCTAAGTGTAATTCTGTTCGTAGCCTCACAGCGTCATTATTGTGCTGTATGTAGGAACTGTTAGTA